AGTTTGGGAACCACTGGAGTAGGCGATTTGTGCTCTATTAACTTGGTCTGTTACGATGCTTTGTGTGTTTGATTACTAATGCCTGTGTAGTACGGCAAAAACGTTCAGCCTCGACTCTTTATCGTCATTTGTGTTAAAATTTGCAAAGCGTACCAAATTGAACAAAACAATATAAATGCAAAATTTGAACTCATGAATATATAACGGTATCCACGGTATAGCAAAATCCAAATCATGGAACAACATAATACCGGTAGTCACGTTCATACCGGTATAGCACCCACCCCTACACCATGTTACATACAGTAGCGCTATTGCAAACAGGAACAAGTTTACTACATAGAAATTTCCTGTCAGCGCGTTGAGCGGACTTTGCTTTTCCAGTGAGCATGAGCGGTACATGAGAGGAACACACATTCATGGAGCGGAATATTGAGCGAAGCGTCACAGTGACGGCGGCTAGAGGGAGAATGAAACCTGTGCGCTGAACACTGCCGGGCGGTACAGCGCGCCATATATTTCCGTTTTTCTCTTTCGGCCGAAAACCGAAAATGCCGTTTTCAGCGGCCGAAATTTCGGTGCATCCCTATAAAATACCATTGGTATATACTACTTCCGCCACCTCACCGGAAGTTGTACCCACGTTCTTTTTTTACAGTAGCGCCCCCCGAAAATGCCATTTTCAGCTGCCGAAATTTCGGTGCATCCCTATAAAATACCATTGGTATATACTACTTCCGCCACCTCACCGGAAGTTGTACCCACGTTCTTTTTTACAGTAGCGCCCACGGAAACAGGTGGATAGTAAGACAATCTCTGCCTGAAGTATCGATATATCGGGTGCTTCTCAAACGGAAGGCTGCATCCTTTCTAGATCAGTCCTTCAGAGTCTTGTAGGCTAGAGTCCTCCTCAGCATTAAACGCTAGAATGAGACAGTCTAATGGCGCTTTTCCACTGCATGGTACGGCACGGTACGGCTCGGTACGGTTCACTTTTGGGGGGTTTTCCACTGGGTACAGTACCTGGTACTTTTTTTAGTACCACCTCGGTTGGGGCTCCAAGCGAACCGTACCGTTACCAAAACGTGACGTGTAAACTCTGCTGATCACGGATTGGCCGGAGAGAATCGTCACTACCTGCGTCACTGAACTTGCGACACAACCCACTCTAAAGCGGTACTAAACTGCAGTGGAAACGCAAACCGAGCCAAACCGAGCCGTACCGAGCCGAGTCGTACCACGCAGTGGGAAAGCGCCATAAGTTAGTAAGTGCACGTGGCTACGTCACATATGTTCCCACCCTCACGGCACAAAAACACTAATAAAACTTAGTTTTGGAAAAGTACTTTGTATTAGAAATCTTCATATTATTTTGCTTTCTATAAATGCAATACAATGAATCACAGTCGTCTAGTCTCCACGTAGCTTAAATTATTGGCAGTTTAGCGTTTAGTAAGTAATTTACACCAAAACAAAAGATAACATCTATCCTTTCATGTCCGAAAACATTATTTTTGTCTTACATTGCATAATAAATTCAGACAAGCTCAGTACTGACTCGTCTTTCGTCAGCTTATTTTCATGAAATGGAATGGGTACAAAGGATTGTGGGTGATTGAAGGTCGCGGAGGATACATCCCATGCATCCTTCAAATTCAGCTAAATGAAGGATGCGAAACGAAGACTGCCCTCCAAGGATATATGCAGCCTTCGTAGGATACAACCTTCCGTTTGAGAAGCACCCATCGTTTCAGCCCTAATACAGACTGAATGGCGGCTCAACACACCCAACCACTGCATGAGCATATGATACCCAAACTACATCTCTCTTGAGATGTACATCTTGAATAAAGCAAACCAGTGTCACACTAGTAACGTTTTTCAAGGATAATGACTATAATCAAGATGAAGATGATTACAGTGACAAACAGGAGTCGTACATTAGGCAAAAATCCTCTGTGTGTGTGTGTGTGTGGGTGCACTTGGCACACTGATCGCTATAACATCATATTTTTGAATGAAAACATTTTAATATATACATCAAAATGTATGTCCTGCAAGTGTTTTATAATGAATGCTGGCCAAAGAAGTCTATTTAAAACTATGCAAGGGTCAGTGGGGTTTAATCATTCTGAATGGATCCGTGCATGCAGTCAAGGCAAGGTGTACGTTATGTCAAAAGGGAGGCTTTCACCGTCTTTGACTACGAAAACTCCTGTCTCAACACAATTGCAGCATACTAATAGTAGCGTAGTCCAGCAACAACAAACAAATATGTACAGACATTACTGGTCTGGAACAATTCTGATCTTACTATATTTATTTGTGTGAATTCTGTTTGTACACTTTATATTAGAATGAAGATGTTCACAGAGAAAAAAGGACATAAATTGTTACAAATAAGCAGAATAGTAACCCAGATAATAACACATGAAGATGTCTATATGATGCATTTTTAAAGCATTTACTGATCAACAATATGTCTCTAAATCATTTTCATTAAGATGAGAGGTTCGTAGACAACAGATGCTTTCCAGATAAAGCACTAAATAAAGCAGCCGCAGTCAGGTAAAAAAGTCATTGTAAGCAGAGAGCGATATACAATGCAATTCAGCAGGCAAGGAATAAAACATTCAACAGCGATATTACAAATATCCAGAGCAGACCATTATGTCAAGGGTCTGAATAGGGGTGGGTGACATATAGGTTAAAAGAGTAAACTGGTAAAAATAATAAGACCTCGAAAATTTGGGGAATACATTGTTGATTTTTAACAGATTAATCAAATTATTTTCAAAATAATTATTTTACATAACTAAAATAACTTGAAATATTAAAGTAATGTGTTACTTTGTGTAACTCTAAAGGGCAGCACTAAATAAAAATGTCTTATTTCATGTATAGATTCTAAAAAAGGTTTATAAACTTACACAAGCTATGTATGATATGATCACTTTGTGTGTTGATAAGAGCAAAATATGATAATTTACTCTCAAATCAAATTATTGATCAACTCGCATGGTATACAGTCCAAATCAAACATAGCAACAAAATAACATCAAACCTTACTTTTTTTTTTCTTTTTGTGTGTCAACAACATCAGGACTCAAAATGTCACTGGATTAAACCACTGACTCTCATGCTCTCTTTATGCACATTTTTCTCAACTTTTGCACCATGTGGATAACAAGAGCTGAAACATTTTTCAGATATCTTTTGAGTTTTGCAGAATAAAAAAAATTATATGAGTTTGGAACTACATGAGGGCGAGCAGATGATGGGAGAATATACATTTTTTTTTAGGGGAAACATCTTTATGGAGGAAACCATAACGACATTAAAAAAAGTGTATTATATCCCAAAATGGTGGACACACCTATAACGTTAATTCTACTGAGTCGGAGAATGCTTTTGATGTCTAAAAATGCTGCTGTTTAAGAACATACCCATGCTCAACAAATGCTGCCGATCTGAAATGTTACTACCTATGATGTCCAGAAACGCAGATATTCAGAAGGTACCCATGATACCCCAAAATGCTGCAAAGCGCTCCTGACTCAAACGACGCCTATAATGCCCAACGATGCCAAAACCGCTGTTTGTTCTGAAGGTGCATGTGATGCCCAATGTGTAGGCTATTTGTGATCAAACATACCAACAATGCCGTCTAGGTAGGCTGCTCGCTGTGTTTTGACACTCAGTCTATGCTCTGCATGATTTTCTCTCACCTGTCTGCCAGCTCCAGAACCTCGTGCACGTTCGCAGTGCTCACGCGTATCTCGCCCGTGTACATGAACTGGATGACGCTCTCCACCGTCTCCTGGTCGAGGCCTGCCTCGCTGCTCCACTCCTTCATCTCCACCCGCCGCGTCACCGACTCCGAAAACTGACCCCCGAGTAGCGGCGTGAAATAATCCGTGGCCGCAGCTAAGACAGAGCGGTGGGCGCTGAACTCGAAGCTGTTGGCGGCTCCCGGGGCGCTGCTGAACGCCAGCGTCACGTCACAGAAAAGCCCGAGCTTCCGCTGCTCGTTCTGCCGCCGGGAGAGCTCCGAGCAGTGGGTCGCGGAGGCAAACTCCTCGGCCTCCTCAGACTCTCCGTCTCCCGCGAGAGCGCTCGCCGTGCTTGGCCCGCCGCTGTTTCGGATGGCGTCCTCTGGATTCGGGGCGGCTGCGGCCATCTCGGTGTCCGCGCGGTCGGTTCGTAAAGTGCGTAGTATGTTGAGGTGGTGGAGCACACTCAAACATACACACTCCAACATAAACAGCGCTCAACATGCACATGCGCACAAGCACCATACACCGCAGGAGTCCTGTTGACGTTACAGGAACTGACGCGAGACACGAGTTGCTGATCTGGGAACAGATAAATAAAGAAATAACATAAAAACATCATATTGGTTTGAAATAGCATAGAAATGTGTTATAAAATAAAATACACAATATTGTGTCACTGTCAGACTTGAACCCCACTGTTGGATGTAGGCCTACATTCAGCTCGTAATTATTGCATAACCCTCGTCACGAACGGCATATTTCAATAAGGACTACTAACGGTTCGATTTGGATAGGGAAAACTCTTGTGATCTTTTTTTCAGTGTGTATACTCAAGATTATTTTGGATAGATGTAGGGCTGGACAATATGGATCAATATGTATCTGTTCATATCGATATCGGAATTATATCGTATCGACCGAAATTAAGAAATATATCGTGATATTAATTTTGGCCATATCGTCCAGCCCTAGATAGATGTCTCTTACTTCATTTGTAGGATGTTTGGAACATTAATACAAATTGAAATGTATGATGTCATATTTGTTTTTCTACAATACTACTGATTCTAAAAGTACAATTTATTTTCTTACACAACTAATTATTTTAATTGGGAAATATCATATTTATGTAAAGAAATGGGCTGAAGCTAAGCTAAATTGTGAACATTTTATAAAATATATATATACAGGGCTGCACAACTTGGTCGAAAATCATTGCAATTATTTTGTCATAACAGCGATAAAACATCGAAAATAACTCTTTTTAGGGTCTTTATTATTATTAGGCCTGTTATTAGTAGTAGAAGTATTGACTTAAATTATAAGCATGAACACAAATTACTACACTGTAAAAAACAATTTGTTGACTCAACTTTAAAAAAAAAAAACTTTTGTTACCCCGCTGCCTTAAAAATTTTGATCTTAATTTTTTTTCGGTGTGATGCAGTTGTTTCAACATGCGTTTTTGAGGTTTTCATGCAACTTTCAGCTAGTTGAGGGCTGAAACTTACATTTTCTTGTTGTCTGGACAATTTATTTTAAAAAAAAAGTTATCATATGTCTACAAAAAATGAGTTGAAATGGCAAAATATAAAAATGATTTTTTTTACAGTGTTGTAAATTGCAGGCTAAAATAAATGGTTATTTGATCATACACTTAAAACGTTCAAAAACCCTGAAGCTTTTAACATTTCAGATACATATAATACAAATATACTGTTTTTAAAGGCTTTGAAAAAATACATAAAATACTTTGTGCCAACCCAAATTTTCCTGCAATTAAGCACTATTTAGCCATTTTCCTGCAATTTAGCAATTTGATCAATTTAGCACTACAGAATGAAATTATGACTTCGTGAACAATGAATCGTCCATCCATCTATTTTCCAAACCGCTTGTGTGTGCAGGGATGCTGGAGCCTCTCCCAGCATCTGGGGCCGAAGGCAGGGAAAATCCCTAGAGAGATGGCCAGTCCATCACAGAAGGTGTTATGGTTGATTCTACTTGTTGCATAATAACAACATAATAAAACTGTTATGTCCATTAAAATGATAATTTCCATTAAAATATTCAGGTAGCTAGAATACTTCTCGCCAGTCAATACAATGCGTGAAATTAGTTTGCAGCCAGCTACAAGCTACTCTGTCATTAACGAATTCAGCTTTTGTTGAGAAAACTTTGTTTGTCTTATTTCCTATTGGGTAAGGAAAAGGAAAAGGTAGGACAAATGAAAACAACCTAAGTAGTTGTAAAATGTTTGCATTCAGAATAGGTCTAGGAAAGATTAGAAATAGGAATGATTTCAACCTAATAGTATTGAATTGCCATTTTAAAATGTTTTTTAAAAAACTTTTCCCCCACACAGTATTTTGCATTTCATTTTTTAAATATATATTTTAGGTAGGTATTTTGCATTTTCATGTATTTGTGCAAATCTCTACTGTAAACAAAGCAGAACTTGTTTACTGGTTTGAATATGAATCATGTTGATTAGTTGGTCTTCATGACTTTCTTTATTCCATGTGGTCATGTCATCATGAAAATGTTTGTGTATTGGAACGCAGATGAACATATAAAATTAGAGAGCCACCTGCGTGTGCCCTCTTGACTTTGTGGTTTGCTTGCTTTCATTTTTCTTCTTGTGCACTGGTTCACTAAACCAAACAGAATAAGAATGCCAATCAGAATGATCAGCATTATTACAGTGAATATGGACATTTTCACCAGAACTTATGAACACATGGTTCACTTCTGCTCCAAGCACAAATATTAATATCGGAAATAACAAAAAAGAAGGACAATCTGGGTTATTTAATTCTAAATTACATACATTAGATATATTTTTTTGATTAGCCTATAAAATACATTTTTAAAACACCTGCTGACATACTTTAATGATACACCTTTTCTTAAGTGAAAAATGAGCAATGATTATATAGCTTTCTAACACTCAGAACACTTTGTAACACTCTTAACATGAACAGGTATTTACAAAGACCACATTGACTCTGAAATATTGACATGAATTTCAGCAAAATAAAACTAGTCTCACGATGACACCTGTTCACCGTCGAAAGCATCTGGGGACGTGAGAATCAGAAATGAAATTTAGAGCAGTGGAAGAATGATGCCTGATCTAATGAATCATGTTTTTTTGTGTTGTTTACCTGCAGAAATGAAAGAGATGGCAACAGAATGCGAAGGCAGGCTGCCAGAGGCGGTGTTAGTTAAAGTTGTGGCTGATCAATGTATTTATGTCTATTTTAGAGGGCTTACCTGTTAATTACTGTATATTGTAACTAAAGTAGTAGTGTTCATTTATTGTTCTTTTTTTCTAATTAATTTGGAACCACTCGGTTCCACAGCAAGAAGTGCGAGTGCATCACATCTGCTGAGACAGCTGGACTGAGGGTGAGATCATGAGGACTGAGGGTGAGTTTACTGTCATAACCCAAAACATGCATAACGTTGGAGGGGCTTATAGTGTTGTTTTTTAATTTGCCTCAATTTGTAATAATTGAAATACATTTATATAAAATAGCAACATTTTATGTAAATTTCACTTCAAATAAGATCAACATTTCTCAATTTCATTCACGGTAATAACATGAAAAATGTTCCTGAGAGTTTGACTCAAAAAATAGGTCTGGAGAAACATTACTTGTAAGTGTCTCCAGGGTAAACCACAATTTGACAAGCTGACAAAATGTCTGATCTGGTCTCTGGCATCAACAAGACATTTCCACCCAAAGAACTGCTGCTCACCGGATATTTTCTCTTTTTTTGGCCCAATCTCTGTAAACCCTAGGTGGTTGCCCTGTTTAGCTGTATCCATTTCTTCACAAGCATTAACAAGTCCTCTGTAAATGCAGCATGTCGACTCCTC